TTACCCTTGATGGTCGAAGAAGAGCCGCATAGTTATCACGAAATAAAACAAAACGATGCGCATCATCGTTTTGTTATTGGTTCGTTTATAATTATAACGCCATCGACTTGTCTGTTGTCGAGTATTTTCGGCGAAACAAAAAACGGCATTGAGCAATCAGATTCCAATAATAGCGTTTAACCCGAGACAAATGTTTTTTTAATATATATTTTTTGATAGTTTCAAAGCGTGATTCCGCCTATAATAATAATTATGTTTTTTTTACGCGCTGCTTATTATTTGCCGCACATCGAATTAAACGCATTTTATGATACCAGTTTTTCTTGTAGTCGACTCTTTGCAAGTGTCCGGTGGTACTTAAACAATGATAGACTGGCTGGGCACTGTCGTTTGCCTTGTGCGGAGGATGTAAAATCGCCAAATCTCTGTACCACCGGCCCACGTCGCCCGCACTCGATACTCCTACGCCTAAACTACAAAACGGTCGCCGTCAATGTAAACACGTCGCAATAAGTGCGTAACACTTGTTGATTTATACGGTTGTCTGTTGGTGGCTTATCTCTGCCGATAGTGTTACTGGTAATTTTATTGCAATAATAATTACAGTTGGCACATAATTCGCGTAATTTACACGTAGTGTTTGTTCGGATCACACGAATGAACATCACAAGTAGAGCGCACTTTATCCTATTCAGAAATTTCCCTGGAAATCGATCGTTCCGTATTCGGTTTTGTTGTTGTTGTGACATAATTAATTATTAAGCAACATTTTACGGCATTTGATTATTTATTAAAAACCAGTTCTGCCGATAAGAAGACAATATTTAATAATTTCCGATTGTGTCATTCTAATAATATACGACAGTTTCGTAATCGATTTCCTACCTCAACTGTGTGGCGGAGATATTATTTTTGCTGTCGCGTTCTATTTGCGGTGTCATTTAATGCAATTTATGCCTCTGAAACGTCCACTGTATCAGAATTGAATCTGACAAAGTTTACTTTTTTTTCCGATCGAAAACGTTTTCTCCGATTATGTTGTTATCAAGTTTTGAAAACAATACAGCTAAACTATATGATCTCCGTGATACAACAGTGATAATCTTAAACTATTGACTGTCACGTGCTCCTCTCCTCTGCGGCGGCCGTGTGCGCTCATGGTACTTGTCCTCACACGGCAAATCAAATGGATCCGCTGCTGCTGGTGCTGTGAAGAACTAGATAATCTTCGGTGGCGTCCTGTGGCAGGGCGTTCACTGTACATGGATATAATATTAATATTATTATAACTATTACTTCCCAGTACTATACGTTAGTATGTGACCAAACAATGGACGACCGGCAGTCTAGGGTTCCGACCAAGTTCATTGTGTTTGACGACGGCCAACGATAATTAAACGACGGCCTGGCGCTGGGGAGAAGAGCGTACAGAGACATGCGGGAATCGTAAACTGGGATTTCAAACGTTTGAAATGCGAAATTGTGTAAAACAACACCGGAAAATATCAAAACATACGGCGCGCATAGAACGGTTAAAACTGTAGCCCTAATTTGCAACAGCGTGTCATTTTTAAACGATTCATCCACTAAAAAACAACGCTGCGCTTTGACAAAGATTTCTTATTCTCCTCAAATTACTATTTCTACGGTTTAAAACACTATCGTGCACGTTCATATGTGTCGGCGGGAAATAATTAGCCCGAAGTCATAACAGGTCCATTTTTGATAATCACCCCGAGGTGGTTATACTTACTTGCCGCCGGTTCGTCGACCCCGACCGAATAGAAAATTTATTGTTTGCTCTTCAGGGACACGAATACGGTTCGAGTGCATTGTTTTGAACTACCAGTGTCCAGAACGAAACGCCGCGCGATCAACGAGATCTGTAGAGACTACTTTTATCCGCCCGCACACAATAAACCAATTCGAATGGTTCCATCGAATACTCGATAAAAAAACGTTCGAATCATTACAAAGCGATTTATGAATAACCGCGGACTTGTTGAGCTTAGTGACGTATTAGTGCTGCGTTTTGTCTATTCGTAGAAAAATGAACACCTCTCCGAATTGTCTGCTAGGTAAAATAATTACTCGATCATTTTGCTTACTCTAATCACCAAACGTTAATCACAACAATGTTGTATTATTAACTCGTGAACTCTGAACTCGGAAGAACATACGACAGCAAAACTCCGTAGTCGAGATTGCACGCGCCGCGGGTGACGCGCATCGCTCCCATCACCTGTAGTAACCATCAATATTCATCAATTGTCGGCGAGTTCCTCGTCCACTAAATCGCTGCCGGTGCGACGTCGGTGGACGACGTTTATCAGTACTAAAAATAATAAATTGTCGTAGTTGATACGGTTACGTAATCCACCAGTTTAGGCGTGGTGTCGGCCACCGCCTCCGCCGCAGAGGCCGTTTACCTATATCGGGTCATGCGGCCGCTCGCCCGTCGCGTACAAGGAGCCGAGACGGAAGGAAAGGCGGCGTACCTCGGTGCAGTGCTCCCCAAACAAACGGCAGAAGGAGCGAGATTTAATGTTATTACATGTACACAACAATAATATAATCCCCTGTAATATACGCGCTGTCTAACGGCTTGTATGCGCGTGTTTGTACGTGTGTATTGTGCGCGAGCACTGTTCGCGGGCTTTACCTCCGCCTCGCCCTGATGAATAGACGGCTGTACGGGAACGGACGACCGTGCATGCGGTGGGGAGGGGTCAAAGAAATCCAACCACCTGTACTTAAGGTATTGACGCACGGTGGAATGCGTGCGCTCCGGGCTGTTTACCGAAGATTTTTTGTCGTCTAGGTGCTCGGAGAAGTTGTGCACTGTACTTCGTAAACGATGATGTTATTTAACGTTGTCGTACTGTTGTTTTTATTGTTGACCCTAAGCAAGCACAGTAATGAGATTGTGCACGTTTGAAAGAGAACAACAGTGTGGGCACATACGTGACTACCGCTCGTTTATTTATAAATTTTGTAATCGTTGGCATGTTCTTTTTTAAATTTCATAAAGTTTATCAAAATATTTAAACGGCCGATTGAAATTTTGCAACACGAACACTTTTGTTTGCAAGTGTGTGTGTTTACAACTATCTGGTAATAATGAAGTATTTTCAAAACACGACGTCATTAGAGCAAATGGGTAATTTTGTGTAAGGAGTTCGGCCTTGAACGAATAACCACAAGGAGTTTTTCAATATCTTCCCTGAGCTTAACCACTGTAATTTGTGTGTACGTAGCGCTATTTTGAATAATTTATTTTTACATTATAATATTCGACTTACTCACGGTCAGTGTGGTCTGTTGCCAAATACGAACGAGTAGGCCTTTTTGAAAATATCAACAAAATTTAAATTGCTAATTGCGTTGCAAAACTCCTGCGTATACACTAATACGTATAAATGTATTGNTACATATACGAACGAGTAGGCCTTTTTGAAAATATCAACAAAATTTAAATTGCTAATTGCGTTGCAAAACTCCTGCGTATACACTAATACGTATAAATGTATTGAAAAGGACTCTAATCAGAGTGGTTTTTTTAATTTTTATTATTATTGTCACTATTGTGGAAGTATTTTAGGACAGCCCTTCTTAATGCTTGCTCGTCATGTCTGTCTCTCTATTGCTCCCGAGTTTCAAATTATAGACCAGTACACGTATTTGTTATTATTCTTTTATGTTTTATAATTTACATGTGTCCTCTAACTCCCTACGTTCGCCGTAATCGCTTCTGGCCCACGGCAAAAGTCGACGAGTTATAAACATAATAACGCTGACTGTTCGTCTCTTTCCATCAAACGATTAGAAAAAACGTACCCCGTCTGCGAGACCCCACACGATGCTGACTCGAAGATAGTTTTTTTATTCAAGTGGTTGAGATGTTTCACGTTATGTAACTGGTGTGTTCGCTGAGCGATCGGTTAACGCGGTTGTCGTCGTCGCGCCGTAACCAAAACAGAGATTAAAAGTCAAACAAAAACAAACGGTTGGAAAGTGTGATTCTCCAGAACAATGCCAGTGACACGTCTCCGCCGCCAGTGCGCGTTTGATCAAGTTCAAGGGCGTTCGGACGATATTTTCCCGCCCACCATTTAAATGTGCCATTAACTACCGAATCTCTGAGCCATTACCGCGAATAATTCACGGCACTACATTGTGCCACACTTAATGACACGAACGTGGTAAACTATGATTAATGTACCACAACAACCGCATGATAAATAACGCTCATGATTTTCGGGCCAGTTCGAACGGACGTTACATTTCGAGAGCTCGGCGTGTTTACAAATGAATAGCTAATCAAAAGCGGCCTTGGTGTGTGCGCTGTGAAAATTTTAATAGAAATTTAGCGCAGATATCTCACGTTTAGAACCAGTAAGCCCGTAACCATTTCAAGTTGATAGCCAACTGATTATCGAGATTCGGGAACAAGGAAATCATTACTGGTATTGTCGCCCGAATTGCATTCCAGTCAACCGTCTAAAACGCTAATTGATGCGAGATATCGATTGTAAATATATCTTCTTTGCATAGCGGTCTTCTAATGTTAGATTTGAAGAAATCGAAAGTGATCGCTGTCAGCAGCACAGTGTGGCCTTTTTATGTTCTAAGGAAACACTTGTAATGCACTAAACCAGTTTGTATGGCAAGCGTATTGAACAGGCATTACATCACAGACCGCTTTGGGTAACAGTTAAAATCCGTTGAAAACGATCTGCCCTTAAAAACATCTCGGCTGTCGTCTATTGCATTGTTTAGTGTTCAGTAATCAGTATATTTTTAGCACTCGTCGTTAACTGTTTGAGATTATAATCACAACTAACTAGAACATTTGTATACGCGCTAGAGATTTTAGTAGATTTATGGACGTTACACTCCTATTTTAAATTCGCTTATTATGCACATTTGTCTTTTGTCCGGATTTTTTTAACAACTACTCGGTTTTTTACTGATTGTTTTATATTTTTCTTTTATTGCAGAGACTCTCGATTACGAAGGAAAAAAAGTCGCACCAAAAGGACTAGGCCATTTCAACAGTGAGTTAACACACTTTTGTACTATGTAATGCTATTATTGTTTACGGCTATTGTCGTGTAAGACTCGAGTAGAACAACAACACCACTATTTGTTCTAATAAAAAAACACGCGTATAAATCTCGAATTTTCAGTTTGTGCTGTCGTCAGTTGGGTATTGTGGTGTTAATAGCATCGAGGTTTACCGATGTGTTTGATTTTCGTTAAACGTAAACCGAGTAACTGTCAGATTACGACGTCGAATTCATGTTAATCCAAAACATTTGATTTATATCGTTTCATGTAGTGTTTGAGAGATCACACGTGACACATTTTTTAAATCTCGGTACTACGGGATATTGTTGTGTTTAGCGCATGTGCGGTGGTCGGCCTGTTAATTGCCAGGTACGGTTTGATGAAGATGTAATAACAATAGTTGCGTGTGTTGGGTACAATATAAAATGGTCATCTAATATTGTGTGGCGCGGGGGTCGTCAATAGATTAACGGGACACGTGTTATCGAGAACACATTTTCGGCAGCGCGTATTCTTTAAATCCGATTGGACGAGCTGCGTCGAACCGTGTAGAACATTAATTCATAGAGCATCTCCCGCGTTCCGTGCTATTGCACCCGAGTTCAACGGACGGTGCGCTTAGACGCGAGTTGCCCGAGGGTTAATGAGTGGAGGTGGCAGATCGCGTACGGGCGGATAGGTGATGCTGGTCCGAGTCGCCCGACACGAGTGCGCCTTTCTGAACTCCAAAGGAACTGGCCCGCCGTCGCCTGTTCACGCACGTCACTCATTGTACATTATGATTATGCTCGTTTATTTTTTTTCTCGATCTCTCCCCCCGACCGGACTGGCTGCGGTCACAACATTGTTGTACACTCTAACGGGATACCCAGACGACGACGTCTCGTGTAATCATTTTGTGAATAATAATAGGCAACGGACAAATAGACGTGTGCGTGGAATATACGGGAAAACCACTGCGGACGTTATCATGTTGTAAATCTCTTGCGTCTAAATGACTTTATTTAAATTACACGTCCAAAGGAGATTATCACAGTTACGTTTTTTATTCGGTTCTCTATGAATGAGCTCAACTGTACGCGTTTACGCACAATGTAAAATTAAATAAATCCTACACCCAGTTGTCTAATTTACATTTGTGGACGATAATAATTTTTTTGTGCCCGATGCGTTTTTTGATTCAACCTGTAGAACTATCGTCGCGTCAGTCAAGTTTTTCATTTGGGTACACCGATTTCCAGTAACACATTTACGGTAATTTATAGGGAACTCTTCGGAGTGTGTGTTAAATTGTGTTTATTCTCACGTTTAATAGAAATTCGTTTCACATTTGAAGTAGTTTCGAGAAAATAATAACACCGTTAGTATGTCTAGAATGGACAAAAGCACGTTTGACGCATCCTCAGGTACATACAACATTTACGCTGCCAGGTATATCTACACAAAGTAAACTGTTGATTGTTGTGGACAAAGGTTTTGTTAAAAAAATTACAATATTATACCCAAAATGATGACCTTTATTCAAAATGGAATTGCCGGTCCGTTCATTATACTTGTCAACATAGTAATAAACGCTTATTTTTTTAGTATACGTAAGCAGTTTCAGTTAAATTGAGTTGAATTTGCGTTAATTTTTTTTTTATATAAATAAAACATCAATAAATATGATCTGTTTTACAACTTTTGAGATAATTTATCACAGGAAAAAAAATATCATGCAAGTTTTTCTCGGTATTTATGATATATATTTTTTATTGGTGTTTAATTTTGTTGCTTATATATTTTAATGGAATATATAGGCTGATTTTTTTATCATAACCCACTCAAATATCTATCAATTTATATTGCACAGTTGTTGGATAATATTTTATATCATCAAATCGCAGACACAGAAATATATAAATCTCAACACTTATTCGTAAGCTAGTTAAAATATGAGTAATCTATTAGTGAAGTTTGTAAAATCTTAAATGATTAATATTGTGTAAAAGTTTTTCAACAACATTGTTAAATTACCGTTGAACATTTACGATTAGAACGTTCGAATTCAAAAATATTTACAGTATGAAATTTAATTAATACAAGTAATACAAAATTAAAACATGAACGAGAAGTGTGTGAAACGGCTCTCTATTTCACAACTGAAGTCCCTCAGCAGCCATTAAGTCGTACCTACTGTTTCCGAATTATTGTTTTAAATCATCATTACCATAATACTCTTACTGTTTTGCCTCACGACTCTCGTGGGAAGTGCACTCTAATTATACTTTTATTAATTTTGTGCCTAATATAAGCATTGTGCGATGTGCTTTTGTCGCCGATGCCGTTTTAATGAATTCCGGCCAATACAAATGAGAATTTCGTGACCACACCTAATCACATATCTTATAGTCTCTGAAGAAGACTACACAAAAAATCATGTTTTCATTTTTTTTTTTTTGCTTTTTAAACTCTTTAATAGTTCGTGATTAGCTAAATGAATAGATTTTATTCGCTTGCACTACACAAGACATCAAATAGCTGTTATCTATTCAATTTAAATTTACATCGTTCATAACCTGACCGAACAGATTTTTCGTGGGTTTTATCACGTTCAGACACGACACATCCTCAGTCAGTGGAAATTGACATTAAAAGAGAAACAGCGATTAGAACATGTTCACCTTAAAGGACACCTTTCATTATTAATTCGTGTGTAGGTGAATATGAGTCAAAAGTAACAAAATATATATTTATCATGATTTTTCAATCTCTTCCAGCCGAGAAAAACTCAAAACCAATATATAAGAACGCAAGTTGAAAGCAAATGCAATGTTAAGTGGTTTATCGCTGAGAATTACTACGTATCTTTTTTGTGTTTTTTTTTTTTTTTTGACTTTTTCCATTGTAGTTTATAAGCTAATTTACCAAGAAAAAGTTATTTTGCGACTCTAGTGGTGGTTTTGTTAACATTTTAACGCTATAGTAGATCATGTGTCATCATAAAAGTTNATTTGACTTTTTCCATTGTAGTTTATAAGCTAATTTATCAAGAAAAAGTTATTTTGCGACTCTAGTGGTGGTTTTGTTAACATTTTAACGCTATAGTAGATCATGTGTCATCATAAAAGTTTTATCAGCTGCTATTTTTTAATTAACCGTTTTCGCCAAGTAATGAACTGTTTGCTGTTAGCATCTTTCGGAGACTGTTTACTCAGGTGATCTGTTCGCGTATGATTTTCCGCGTTTCTTTTCACAGTTTTGCTACGACAACATTTTCCGTGACTAGACAGTCTCACGTGCTTACGTATATACAAACACCTGGCTGAGCTAGACAAATAATTTTCCTCGCGTAAATTGTGCAACCACAACCAAAGAATGTGTAAATGAACACGCGACCTACAATAATATTGTGTATACACATGTAATAACATTACGACGATAACTCTGAAAATATGTGTCCGATCCGCTTGGCAAAACGGTTTTACAGGTATTCGCCATGCATGTAAATAATATCATATAATAACATGTATTCGTGTTGTACGGTCGTCTTCCGTTAATTATATTAAACACATGATATTAGATAATGGCTGCAGTAAAAACTGTGCTAAAGGAATTTTTCTATACGTCAAAATTGGATTCGCGGTTACGACTTCGAAGTCGTAAAACATTCCGAGAAGACCGCGTTTGAAGTATAGCGCATCTTTTTCAAAGTCAAATAGAATTTTTTTATGGCCAAGTACGACCAAGGACGACGGGTTTTTGCTCTGTCAAAATGAAATTACTTTCGGTTTTTTCTACATAATATGTTTTTGGTGGTACTGCAAACCCTATGTAATATTTACCAATAGCTAGAACAATTGCACGTCGCCGGTTTTATTCCTTTATTTTGCATATATTACACGGACGCAAACCTGTTTCGCTATTTACAACGAAGGCATTTTGCCAACCAGCCGATAATCAATTTTGTTTTTCATATCGAAAGTGAAAGGTAACTGCGAGTACGATATCGATAAATCTCGGAACGCGGTAAAATCTGACTTCACCTCTTTCATTGGAAAAAAACTCACTACAATGAAAACTGAGAAAATAATTAGATTGAATAGAGAATGGCAAATGTACAACAATACTGCAATGCCAGTGGATATTATTTCGCTTGTATTATAAAGATTTCCACGAATCTCGATGGATTACTTTCCTATTAAGTACTGCAAACAGAAAATAAATTAATAATACGAGATTGAATCCGAATAATAGTTACTGTATTGAATTTTTTTCCATAATAACCCTGACTCTCTATTAAACTTTACGAATCCGATAGTCGTTACGCCATTGACTACTGAAGTCAATTGACATTCTTGTTACCATTTTAATTAACAGCAATTGCATACACTTTGACAGTTGTTTTAAATGTACGTTTCGTACGACGCAATGCGAGTGCACACAACCGATTCATACACTAATATCGTCGTACAGTATTAATTAATACGATATTTAATTATGACGGTGTACCGCCGATAATAACAAGTAGGTTTCTTTTGCCGATGAAAAAATAATTACTAGTAATACAATATTCGTTCACACTCTAATAACAAAAAAAATTACTCGTTTAATTAGAAAGGGGCAGCAGTAGTGTGTAATATCAATTATTAAATCTTTTATCGCGATTCGTATAGTATTTGGCTGTTACAATCAACAGTTGTGTAATGGCGGCTGTACGGTAAAGTTTCTGCTTCTGAAATGTTCTCTGCCGGATGTTTTCCTGCCTTCGATAACTGAGGTATCACGTGTTTGATTTATTGACTCTTGTTACTCCGTTTAGTCTGATTTCCAATGGGAAAACCTGACGTTTCGAGTACACGTTCAACGCAAAACGAACAATCATGTTTTGTGTCCAATAAACTGTAATCTCAGATAATTCTCGGTCGATATAAAGCAATTTACTTAGACGTTACTCGAGACTTTAAAAAGTCCTGGAATTATTTCAATCGACACACATTTTCGCTAT